TTCAGGATTTGAAATAACTCAGCTGGAATCCCATCACCTCTACCAGCTTTATTTGTAGTAACGCTTCCTAAGTTCCACTTGACTTCACACTGTAGCATGTCTGGCTCTAAGTTAGTGACCACACCACTGTGGTTATCTGGGTCATTAAGACTTTTTTTTGTGGTTCTTCTGTGTATTCTTGTCACTAGGCCTGTAGGAAGGCTAGACTAAAGGCAGGTTTCATAGATCTCATTGCACTTGCTGAGCACTTTAGTGTATGACCAGCTCTTACAGTGACTAGTGAAGAGGCCCAACAAAATGAGAAATGGTCACTTTTTACAACTTACCAAAATTCATTCTTGCAGAGATGCTGGGATATTAATATCTTAAAAGCCTCTTGGTATCGCAGAGGGACCAGGGAACCAAAAGAAGTCTTGTCTCAGGGGTATGCTGAGCAGGGAGTTTTTCAAAGAGCAATCATGTGGGCACATTGTGCCTCAGTCACTCACACGCCATTTAGGGGCCCAGAGCTCTGGCCAGGCAACACTAAGTGAAATTTAATGTCTTCCCAGGATCAATAAAGGACAGAAATGGTATGGACCTGACAGAAGCAGAAGATATTAAGAAGAGGTGGCAAGTATACACAGAAGAACTGTACAAAAAAGATCTTCATGACCCAGATAATCACGATGGTGTGATCACTCACCTAGAGCCAGACATCCTGGAATGTGAAGTCAAGTGGGCCTTAGGAAGCATCACTACAAATAAAACTAGTGGAGGTGATGGAATTCCAGTTGAGCTATTTCAAATCCAAAAAAATGATGCTGTGAAAGTGCTGCACTCAATATGCCAGCAAATTGGGAAAACTCAGCAGTGGCCACAGGACTGGAAAAGGTCAGATTTCATTCCGATCCCTAAGAAAGGCCATGCCAGAGAATGTTCAAACTACCACACAATTGCACTCATCTCACACGCTAGTAAAGTAATGCTCAAAATTCTCCAAGCCGGGCTTCAGCAATACATGAACCATGAACTTCCAGATGTTCAAGCTGGATTTAGAAAAGGCAGATCAAATTGCCAACATCTGCTGGATCACCAAGAAAGCAAGGGAGTTCCAGAAAAACATCTATTTCTGTTTTATTGACTATGCCAAAGCCTTTGACTGTGTGGATCACAATAAACTGTGGAAAATTCTGAAAGAGATGGGAATACCAGACCACCTGACCTGCCTCTTGAGAAACCTGTATGCAGGTCAGGAAGCCACAGTTAGAATTGGACATGGAACAACAGACTGGTTCCAAATAGGAAAAGGAGTACGTCAAGGCTGTATATTGTTACCCTGTTTATTTAACTTATATGCAGAATACATCATGAGAAACTCTGGGCTGGAGGAAGCACAAGCTGAAATCAAGATTCCTGGGAGAAATATCAGTAACCTCAGATATGCAGATGACACCACCCTTATGGCAGAAAGTGAAGAAGACCTAAAGAGCCTCTTGATGAAAGTGAAAGAGGAGATTAAAAAGGTTGGCATAAAGCTCAACATTCAGAAAACTAAGATCATGGCATCCAGTCCCATCACCTCATGGCAAATAGATGGGAACAGTGGAAACAGTGGCAGATTTTATTTTTGGGGGCTCCAAAATCACTGCAGATCATGATTGCAGCCATGAAATTAAAAGACACTTAGTCCTTGGAAGGAAAGTTATGACCAACCTAGACAGCATATTAAAAAGCAGAGACATTACTTTGCCAACAAAGGTCCATCTAGTCAAGGCTATGGTTTTTCCAGCAGTCATGTGTGGATGTGAGAGTTGGACTATAAAGCAAGCCAAGCACCGAAGCACTGATGTTTTTGAACTGTGGTGTTGGAGAAGACTCTTGAGAGTCCCTTGGACTGCAAGGAGGTCCATCCAGTTCATCCTAAAGGAGATCAGTCCTGGGTGTTCATTGGAAGGACTGATGTTGAAGCCGAAACTCCAATACTTTGGCCACCTGATGCGAAGAGCTAACTCATTTGAAAAGACCCTGATGCTGGGAAAGATTGAGGTCAGGAGAAGAAGGGGACGACAGAGGATGAGATGGTTGGATGACATCACTGAGTAAATGGACATGAGTTTGGGTAAACTCCAGGAGTTGGTGATGGACAGGGAGGCCTGGCGTGCTGCAGTCGGTGGGGTTGCAAAGAGTTGGACATGACTGAGCGACTGAACTGAACTGAACGAAGGTCACCACGTGTTTGGAGTGTTGTCATTTCCAGAGATCCAGGTCCAAAAAATGGAATGGCACCAAAAAATAGGCTAACTACAACATGAAAAGATCCTTCTCTGTAGAAAGAGCCAAGGACTCAACAGTGCTGTGTTTGGATGCCCCAGGCTGAGTTGGCCTGGGTGTGTTTGCATGGGCTCTACTGATGGAACTGTGGTAGTGATCTTGTGAGTGGTCACATGAAGTGAGAACTTAATTCCCTGCCCAGGAATTGAACCTGGATAGCCTGGATGAAAACTAGAAGACTGAGCCACCAGACCAGCAAGGGCTAAAGGCTGGAAGCTGTTTTTCTGGGCTCTTTCCTCCAGTGAAAAATGCATTTATTATGGAGGCAAAAACTGTAAATGCAGGTTCAAAGTTTATTATTAGAGGCACAGCACAACAGCATGTGGGACAGCACACAGAGGAACAGTTTGTTAAGATGGAAGCAAGGGAGAGATGCATACCCAGAGAGAAAGGGTTTAGGCGTACCCTCTAGCGAGGAGGAGCACAACAAAAAAGTGGTTAAGCCATTTATATATGACAGTTCTTCAGATCTTTGTTTATCTTCTGCCAATTATCAGGCTTCATTTTCCTCACCTGAGCTACCCTACCACCCTTCCCAACACGTACACACAACTGTTTTCCAAGATGGATTCCAGTTGAGAGGACTATGGAATCACATATTAACATCACATATTATGGGGTAATACACCATTATTTTTGACCCCAAGGAGGCTTTCTGCACATATGAAATGTCTCTCTTGCCCCAAGGATGGCAAATATATAACCTCTTGATTCTTTACTCAAACAAGGTTTAGCATGTTCCTGCCATGACTGTTACCTTAGGGTGTCCACAGAAGACAAAACTTGGCTGTTTATCCCACTTCAGTTGTTACTTCCATTTAGAAGAGCAAACAGGAAGCCGGTTATAAATATCTAACCTGGAGCCCACCTATCGTCTATTTCAAGAAATGCAGACAGGTGGCTAGCTGTAAGTGACTGGCCTGAAGCCCATCTTTTTCTTTCCTCAAGAAATGTAAACAGGAGACCAGTCATAAATGCCTATCTCCTGCCTTGGTGGGAACAGCTGAGCCATGGCCAGGTTCCGAATGGAGTCTCAGAGTCCCCCAGGAATGACCCAGGAAGCTGCCCAGTCAATGCAGCATGCTGTCAGTGCTGGGAGAGCCACCTGTCATCCAGGCCTGGAGACCTCACTCCTGCAGTGATCAGCACATCCAGTAGGGGGTGAAAAAGGGGAACCAATGAAACATGATTCTGCTCATTGGCTATAGCAACAGCCTAGAATGGTGCGGAGATTGAAACTCTTATCTGATGAGATCCCGGGAGTATTTATCATTCTGTTTCTCTGTTCCAGGCAAGTCATTTTCAAATTTGGCTCTGAGACCATTGTCTGGAACATCTGTATGAAATACAGATTCCTGGACTCCACCTCCAAAGATTCTGATTCAAGGGTTTTGTGCCGAAGAATTTATTCCTGTGTTCCACATGGTTCAGAGGAGGGGATCCACGGACCAGTGTCTGGGAAGAATCACTCTAGCCCACACCATCTCCTTATACAACCAGTCACTGAGAAGGGGCTGCACTCCCAACGTAACACCCAGAGTGTCCCCGAGCCCCCACTTTGACCTGCTGCCCATTCTGGGACACAAAATCTCTGAGCTCTGCCCCCCAGTGAGCTCCATAACTGTCCTTTTCACACATGCACTTCACATCCATTCAGTTCAGCCAGTGTTTATTGGGCACCTCCTATAGGCAAGGCACAGAACCAGGTGCTGCTGTGAGGAACGGAGAGGAGAAGGCCGGGCCTCACCCTCAAGGGGCTCACAGTCTAGTGGAAGAGAGACATGGGTACTAAAAATACAAGGCAGCATGAGATGAGCGCTACCACAGGCGAAACCAGTGGGAAGGCAGGGAACCCAGGCAGATCAAATGTTTGGTGCAGCAGGTGGTGCTCTGGTCAGTCCATGGGAGATAGCAAGATTCACACAGGTGGAGCTGAGCAGAAAAGGGACTTTCAGGCAGGAGAGAAGGTACAGAGGTGGGAAAGAACACTGACTGTCCAGAAAATAGAGGCAGAATGTGTGCCTTGACTGAAATATAGGGTGCTAATGGGGTAACTGGGAGCTAAAGCTAGACAAATGTTTGGAGGGCAGATGGCAGAGGAGATCAACGTTGATCTGTAGGTGATGGTGAGTCATCCAAGGTTTCTGAGCCAAGGAGCAACATGATTTCATTTCCTCAATTCCCAGTGCTATAACATGCGATTAACTCTACTTCTGTTAACTTCACTCCATGGACTTACACCCTCTCCTGGTCTCAAAGCAGAAGCTCTGTGGCTACACATACATTTAGGACTGTACAAAGTTACAACGCAGTAGCCTTAGGCTAGGTAAATTTTGAGCTCACTTACCAGCTTTACACTATGTCCACAGAACAGAAGGGGCAGCCTTCTAGAATCATTTGAGAGTAAGGGTCAAGGCACAAGGAAGGTACTCAATGAACTTTTGTTGCCTAGGCATGGCATGGATAAGCTGTAGGAAAAAATGGGAGCACAAAGGGAAAATGGTAGAGAGATGCAGGTGACAAAATTAGCATCATCTAAACCAAACCATTTCCTAGGAGGCTTCTGCTACAACCCACTTCATTGGGTGGGGAGACTCTGCAGTCTGACCCACTGGGATCAGTAGGTGGTTCTTCTAAGAGCTCTACACCTAACAGATTCTCTACTGACACCTTCATTAGGATCCTGCTTAACTATCCAGTGAGGAGGGAAAATGGCGCCCACCCCTACCTGGGCTACCCCAGCCTGTAAAGGAATGTGAAGCAACTGCTGTCCAGGTGGACATGGCGATGCTGGTCAGCGAGGGCTCCCCCAGAACCTCCACACTAACCGAAGTGGGTGTCTGGGTGGAGACAGGTGAAGTCACAGCTGGGTTACCCAGGAGAAACGCTCCTGGGGAGTTGGCATGCACCTCTGAGCCCGACCCGGCAGGGCCCCCGCCACTGTTGTTGATGGTCCACAGGCATGGGTATGGGCTGCAGAAAGAGAGAGAGAGAGAGAGAGAGAATGGTGATGATACTCCCAGACAGGACTGCCGTCTGATTAGCACATACACAGTGCTGAGCGGGACACGAGTTAGAAAGAGAGTATCTAGCCATGGCTTTGTTTCCAGCTCTGACGCACACTGGTCCCTTTTCTGCAGAGAAGCAGCAAGATGTAGTAGAATAAGCATACAATTAAGTGTCCTGACACCTGCGTTTTGATGCTGGCCCTGCCTCTAGCAAGTTGTTCAGTTTTAACAGAGCATTTTATTTCTCTAAGCTTCCCTTGCTACCTGTGTAAATGGGCAGGGAAGTTGAAAGGAGGATATTTGGGCAGTATAATCTGTAAGATCTCTCACTGGCCAAGAGAGGTGATATGGCCTAATAACCAGGACAGAAAATCTAGGTTTAAATCCTAGCATTACAGCTTATTAGCTCTGTGACTTTGAACAAATTATTTAATAGATAAGCCTCAGTTTCCTTATCTTCAAGATTTGATGTGATAATTAAACATACCTTACTAAATATTTTTATGAGGATTGAATAAGAAAATGAGTACGTGAAATCCAAAACATAGCACTCTGTAAATGGTGGTTGTTATAATTAATTCTTCCATTCCAGGTTTCTACCCGTCAGTTCTGGTCCCTGGTAGAAAGGCGGGGAACTGGACCACTTTCTTAGACTTTTCTATACTACATCACTGGGTCACGAACTTGACTATACATTGAAATCACTTAGCAAATTAAAAACATTACTGACACTTGGGTTCTACCCCTGGAGATTCTGATCTAATTAGCCTGGCATGTAGTATCAGAATTTTTTAGAGCTTTCCTGTTGACTGTGATGTGCAGCCAATTTTGTACCTTAACATAGAACCTGGATTAAAATGACTGCAGTCAACACAGGCAAATAACTTCCAGTACTTTGGTCATCACTTTTCAGAGTCCCTACTTAGCTTGATAATAGGCTCATTACCCAATGACAGTACTGAACACATTTTGCTTTTCTCTACCAAAATATTTAGAGTCAGCAATGGGTTAAACATGCCACTGATGAAACCAGAGGTAGAAATGCCACCCTGCACTCTGCCATATTTCAGATTCCACAGACCTCATTGGACCATATGAAACCTGCAGAAACCTAGAAAGGCCATGGGGGTTGTTGGGTTTTTTAGCCAGCTCAGCTTGCTGGGATTCTGACCCCAATTCCCCAGTTTTCAAAAGAAACTCTTCTACAATAACAGTCAGAGCCCCTTTCTGATGCTTCCTGGACTGATTCAAAAACCATGGGTTCTGAGTTACTTTATTTACTGTCTTAGCTTCAGGCAGTTTTTAAAGACTCTGAGATTTAGTTTCTCCATCAGGAAAATAGAAATTTTAAAAGCAGCCTTATGGATGCCTTTGAATCCTATAAATGACTTACATTAAGGATCTAGTACAGAACTTGGCACATAGTTAATTGTCTAATAGCTTCAAGGACACTTTCCCTCACTTCCAACACAGCACCAATAAGTGCATTTCCCTGAGATCCTCTAGTCAAGCACTGTCCAATAGAAATAAAATGTGAGCCACAAATACGATGCTGAATTTTTGAGAAGCCATACTTGAGAAAAGAATAAAAAGAGACAAATGAACTTATTATTAACAATGTTTTATGTAACTGAAAATATTTAAAATATTATCATTCTTACATGCATCAGTATAAAAAATTATTAGGAATTTATTGTTTATTACCTACTGTCTTTAACATTCTGTGTGTTACAGCCCATCTCAGTTTGGACCGGTTGCATCACAAGAGCCCAGGGGCCAGAGGCAGCGGGGGGGGGGGGGGGGGGGGCTGTTGCCTCAATAGCAGAGCACTAGATCCTTAAGGGATGGCAACATCAACATCAGAATCAAGGTCACAGTTCACAGCAACATCAGCAACACCTGGAAGCTTGTTAAAATGCAGAATCTTGGGCCCTAGCCCAGACCTATTGATCAGATTGTGCAGTTGAACAACATCCCAGGCGATTCTATGCACATTAAAGAGTGAAGAGCATTGCTGTGAATCACAGTTCTACGACCCTCCAACTTTTTTAGACCTGCCAGTCGTCTAACATCTCCCCCCAAAAAAGATAAGACATCTTTTGATTTTGAATTGCTTCTTGGACCTTCTCAAAACTCTGCCTAATTATGTTGAACTTAACAAGACATGTACATATTGATACAATGTTATTGCTTACAGTACATATTATGCTCTTTTTAATTTGGGGGTTCACCATAACTCTACAGAGTTCTCTGAGTACTGCTGCAGAGTAGTATTATTGCCATGTTACAGATAAGAAAGCTTAAGCTTAGTGAGGCTAAGAAGATTTCCTAAAGTCTCAGAGTCAGTAAGAAGTGAAACTGGGACATTTGTCAGATTCCAGGCCTCTTTCCTTTCTACTCATCACACTGATTTCCAACAGTCAGAACTGAATGCTGGTCTCTGGTATAAGAGTTATGCCATGGGTCCTACAAGATACTCTCAGCCCTATTGCCTGGGATGAGGCCTGGGCACCCAAAATGTGTCCACCTGTTAGAATGAGTAGCTTGTGAGGATATAGACAGCCAAGGGTCTTGAGGTTTCAGTGCATATTTACACTTTTCCCTTTTAATTCCCTGATGCTCAGTATTTATCTGCTACCACCATTGTTAACAGTATTTCTTCCTGACTTGAGACAAACAATCCCAGGCCACAATATCTTTTCCCTCTTAAAAAAAACACCAAAGTTACAAATAAAAAGAGCACATGACGGAGCAGGTGCTTTCTCACCACACTTTTTCCAGGGGCGAAGAGTTGACCTTGTTGTTATTTTCAATTCTTAGTGGCTTAGAAGTCAGGATAAAAGCTTAGACCAAGGCGCCCCAGGAAGAAAATATGAATTCAAGACCCCATGCTAAAAAGTAAACCTCCAAGAACAATGAGCAGGTTGCTGGTGTTGGTCTTACCTAGGCCCTGGATTGACTGGCCCGCTGGTGTGGGGTACAGACAGGATGCTGGCGTGGGGTGCGGAGGATAAGGAAGTCCAGTTGTCAGCTCCAGAGAAAACTTGCAGGTTATTGCTGGAGCTTTCTATCAAATTCACTTTGGGGAAATAACAACAGTTCAATTTATGAAGCATGGAAAATGTGAAGATGGTGACCAGTGACATTATCCTAGGTCAAAACACAACCATGGCTTGTGCCACATGTGCCAACAGTGTGTTGATACTTTCTGAAGGAAACAGAAAGGAGGGAGGAACTTAGGTTTACTGAAGTTTATTGAATGTCAACCATATGTCACAAACTGAAAGTTTCTCAGTCGTGTCCAACTCTTTGCGACCCAATGAAGTATAGAGTCCATGGAGCTCTCCAGGCCAGAATACTGGAGTGGGTAGCCTTTCCCTTCTCCAGGGCATCTTCCCAACCCAGGGATCAAACCCAGGTCTGCTGCATTGCAGGCAGATTCTTTACCAGTCATGGGATGATCATGTACTGTTCATTTTTTAATCTTTATAACAACTTCTCACCTCCATTTTATAGATGAGGCTCAGACAGGTGGGATGATTTTCCGTTTTTGTCACAGATCTAACTCAGGTCACTGCTCACATCCTCTTTAAAATGGGCCATGTCATCATCCCCTCAAAACAAGCCTACGGCCACCAGTGCTTCAGATGAAGTTTCTGAGGCTCAGGACCTATCTTTCTCAGCAACCCCAAGGAGATTTAAACATTTCAGGAATAGTGTCTTCTATGTACTTGAATCTTCGTTTGCACAAATAGTGCATATATAATAGAGAGGGAGAAGGGAAAGAAGATGGGAAGGAAGGAGGGGAAAGATAGGAAGAGGATTTCATGCACATCCCTGGCCAAGTCACTCCTCTTCATGGTGTGGCCCTCAGCCTCAACTCCTTCATCCACCACATTGCCTCCCTCCTTCTCCACTCTTTTCCCAAATCATTCCCAGATAACGTAGGTTCTCCCCTCCTCCTGTATCTTTGCTCATACCACTCTCTCACATGGAGTGCCCCTCATCTCTGCCTGTGTCCCATGTCATCCACCTTTCATCCCTGCCCACCCCAACCTTTTTCCTTTTCTATTCACTCTTCAAATCTCAACTTAAACATCAAGCCCTCTGGTAGATTTGGCTGCCCTTTTTCTTTCATTCCCATAGCACCGTGGCTTGTGCACTTTATAGAATGTTTCTCTAACTTTAATGTGCATAAGAATCACCTGGGGATTTTGTTAACCTGCAAACTCTTTCAGAAGGAGAACCTGAGAGTCTACATTTCTAACAAGTTCCCAGGGAATGCTACAGGTCTAAGGATCACATTAGAGCACTCACTATACTGTATTAGGATTAATTATATGTATTTGCATAGCCCTGAGGTCCTCCAGGGAATAAATAAACCTTAATCACCTTCCTTACCCCACTGCCTAGAAGAGTGCCTGGTGCATAGCAAATGCTCAGATGTGTTTTGTGTGCTGACCCCAGGAAAGAATCAAGAAGTAGGTGAGAACCTGCTCAGTTTCTGGTATCATTAAGCTCCATTTTCTCCCTTCCTGGAAGCAGCTGCCAAGGTTGCTGGGAGCAGCCAGCGATGGGGCACAGGCACTGGCAGCTGATGCCCAGCAAAGTCATCTGCAGGCACAGAGCTCGGGATGTCCCTGAGGCTGGTATCCTAACGCACTCCTCTGTCTCCCAGACCAGGAACTTCACTGTCTCCTTGAGTGTCAGTGTCCGCATATGAGAGTAGAATCTCTGTGAGATGATTGGTGCTGTGATCTGTTTTGTTCATGGACAGAACCTGGCACAAAGTCAACCCTCGATAAATATTTGCTGATTCAGACCAAAGCCTGGATGTAGAGTGAGCTAGCTTCCCAAAACTTCCTAATAGCTCTTCAATACTGGGCCCAATATTTTCTGGACTGAGCCATGCACTACAACTGTAGAAAAGAGTCATGTGAGGGCAGTGAGCTGAGGGTCTCAGAACTCCATGACTTAACGGCCTTTTTTTTTTCATTTATTTTTATTAGTTGGAGGCTAATTACTTCACAACATTGCAGTGGGTTTTGTCATACACTGACATGCATCAGCCATGGAGTAACGGCTTTTAGAGATGCAGCCTGAGACTGCTTAGTACACCAGTGCCCTGGGAGGAGGACTTTCACACCCATTAGAAATTGGGAGACTGGTTGTCTCCCAGCTTCTGTAATTATTTGCAATAATTATAAAATACTAACAATGCTATATATAGTCAACTGTTAGTATATAAAACATCAAAATTTTAATATGTAATAATATTACATATATTAGATAGAATGGATTCTATCTTCAGATGTTTACTTCTACTAGTTGTTTATCTACTTCTTCCCACCATCCACTCCCCCAAGGGTATTGTTAGCAGAATCACACACCTGAGGGAGAATGATTTCTGTGCACGTATGCAGAAGGGTAGGGAGCCTGCCGGTGGTGTCCTCGGATGCCAGGGTAGTGCTCACAGCCATGGTGGGTGTGGGGAGCAGACAGAGGCAAAGGAGTAGCATACTGGTAGTTGGTGTTTCCTGCTGTACACACTCCATCCGGATTGGAAAAGATCCAGCCTCCCACTGCAGGAGATAAGAGGAAGACACAGAGGAAGATTCTGTGAACTTCCACACCAAAAATCAGGTTTCCAGCCACTTAGCATAGCTATGTTCCTGTGTGAATGGCAGTGTCTACCTGTGTGGAGTTAGACACCACCACCTCCACTGCCACTCCCCGTCCACGTTAGCAACTAAGTTGGCTTCTTTGGAGATGGATGACAGGTCCTACCAAGTTTGGAGAATCTCTTAAGAAATGCTGGAGTTGAAACTATAAAACTCCTAGAGGAGAACATGGGCAAAACACTCTCCGACATAAATCACAGCAGGATCCTCTATGACCCACCTCCCAGAATATTAGAAATAAAAGCAAAAATAAACAAATGGGACCTAATGAAACTTAAAAGCTTTTGCACAACAAAGGAAACTATATGCAAGGTGAAAAGACAGCCCTCAGATTGGGAGAAAATAATAGCAAACAAAGCAACAGACAAAGGATTAATCTCAAAAATATACAAGCAACTCCTGCAGCTCAACTCCAGAAAAATAAATGACCCAATCAAAAAATGGGCCAAAGAACTGAACAGACATTTCTCCAAGGAAGACATACAGATGGCTAACAAACACATGAAAAGATGCTCAACATCACTCATTATCAGAGAAATGCAAATCAAAACCACAGTGAGGTACCATTACATGCCAGACAGCATGGCTGCTATCCAAAAGTCTATAAGCAATAAATGCTGGAGAGGGTGTGGAGAAAAGGGAACCCTCTTACACTGTTGGTGGGAATGCAAACTAGTACAGCCGCTATGGAAAACAGTGTGGAGATTTCTTAAAAAGCTGGAACTAGAACTGCCATATGACCCAGCAATCCCACTTCTGGGCATACACACCGAGGAAACAAGATCTGAAAGAGACACATGCACCCCAATGTTCATCGCAGCACTGTTTATAATAGCCAGAACATGGAAGCAACCTAGATGCCCATCAGCAGACGAATGGATAAGGAAGCTGTGGTACATACACACCATGGAATATTACTCAGCCATTAAAAAGAATTCATTTGAATCAGTTCTAATGAGATGGATGAAACTGGAGCCCATTATACAGAGTGAAGTAAGCCAGAAAGATAAAGACCAATACAGTATACTAACGCATATATATGGAATTTAGAAAGATGGTAATGATAACCCTATACACAAAACAGAAAAAGAGACAGAGATGTACAGAACAGACTTTTGGACTCTGTGGGAGAAGGCGAGGGTGGGATGTTTCGAGAGAACAGCATTGAAACATGTATATTATCTATGGTGAAACAGATCACCAGCCCAGGCTGGATGCATGAGACAAGTGCTCTGGCCTGGTGCACTGGGAAGGCCCAGAGGGATTGGGTAGAGAGGGAGGTGGGAGGGGGGATCGGGATGGGGAATACATGTAATTCCATCGCTGATTCATGTCAGCGTATGACAAAAACCACTACAATATTGTAAAGTAATTAGCCTCCAACTAATAAAAGTAAATGAAAAAAAAAAAAGAAATGCTGGAGTCACAGCTATATAAAATATTATTTGAATGTATAAGTTAATAGAAAATATAAAAGTTAAGTTGCTTCTGACTTAATTGGATTAAAAGTCAGTCAAAGAAGGAGGTGTCAGATGATATGTTAATCATTGATTAAAAGCTACTAGGGAATGTTTAATTTGGTTACCCAGAAAGAATGGAGCCCTCCCTGTTTCTGCCAAGTGAGAAAATATCTTTAGTTCTCACTCAGAGCAAGAGGTGAGAGAATGCCTCCCATCACCACCCAACAAAGAGGATTCTGAAGGCAAAAAGAGAGGGAGATGGCCAGCACAACTTGATAAGAATCTTGCAAAACATTTTGGAAAACTGCAAAATATTTCACAGAAATGTGTTTGTGAAAGACCATCTCAATCGATGTGGAAAAAGCATGTGACAAAATTTAACACCCTGTCATAATAAAAGCATTCAATAAAGAATACAAGAAAATTGCCTCAACATAATAAAGGCCATATAGGACAAACCCACAGTTAACACCATACTCAATGGTAAAAAACTGAAAGCTTTTCCTCCAAGATCATGAGCAGGACAAGAATATACACTCTCATTACTTCCATTCAGCATTGTACTAGAAGTCCTAGTCAGAGCAATTAGGAATAAAGGAAAAGAAAGAAAAGGCATCCAAATTGGAAATGAAGAAATAAAATTATCTCTGTTCATAGATGACACAATTTTATATGTAGAAAACTCTAAATATTCCACAAAAAAACTTTTCTGATAAACAAATTCAGCAGTTGCAGGATACAAAATCAACACATAAAAATCAGTTGCATTTCTATACACTTACAATGAACAATCCAAAAAGTAACTAAGAAAACAATCCAATTTAGAATAGCACCACAAGGAATAAAGTACTTTGGAACAAAATATACCTATGGGGCAAAAGACTCATACACTGAAAACTATAAAATATAGATGAAGGAAATTAAAGAAGATATAAATAAATGGAAAGACATCCTATGTTCATGGATTGAAAGACTTAATATTATTAAAGTGTTCATATTACCCAAAGAAATCTCTATCAAAATCCATAAGACACTTTTGTCAGAAATGTAAAGAAAATACTAAAATTCATATAGATCCTCAAAGAACTCCAAATAGAACGATCCTGAGAAATAAAAATAAAGCTGGAGGCCTCACAGTTCCTGATTTCAAAACACATTACAGAGCTACAATGCTGTAAATAGTATGTGCTCAGTTGTCCATTTGTGTCTGACTCTTTGCAACCCTATGGACTATAGCCCGCCAGGCTCCTCTGTCCATGGAATTTTCCAGGCAATAATACTGGAGTGGGTTGCCATTTCCTATTTCAGGGGATCTTCCTGACCGGGGATCGAACCCAATCTCCCGTGTTTCCTGCACTGGCAGGCAGATAGTTTCCCACTGAGCCACCTGGGAAGCCCCCTAATTAGTATGGTGCTGGCAAAAAGATATATAGACCAGTGGAAGAAAAGAGAGCCTATAGATAAACTCCACTTATATGGTCAAATAATCTTCAACAAAGATGCCAAGACTACACGAGTGGGAAAGAATAGTCTCTTCAGAGAACAGTATTAGGAAAGCTGGATATCCACATGCAAAAGAAATAAACTAAACTCGTATTACACCATATAAAAATTTTAACTTTAAATAAATAAATAAATATAAGACCTATACAACTTCTAGAAGAAATGCAGGGGAAAACTTCACGAAATTGGATTTGGCAATGATTTATTAGATATGACACCAAAAGCACAGATAACAAAAGCAAAAATAGACAAACTACTTCAAACTTTAAAACTTCGGCACAGCAAAAGAAATAATCAACAGAGTGAAAGGGAAATCTATAGGATGGAAGAGAATATTGGCAAACTATAAAACTATAAAAGGGATTAGCATCTGGAATATGTAAAGATCTCTTATAACTCAACAAAAACAAAAAAAATCCTAATGAAAACAAGCAAAGGACTTGAACAGACATTTCTTCAAAGATATACAAAAAGCCAAAATGCATATAAAAAGATGTTCAGCATCACTGTTCATTAGCAAAACACAAATCGAAACAAGATATCACCTCATACTATGGCCATTATCCAAAAAAGATTAGGAAATAATAAGTGTTGGTGAGAATGTGGAGAAAATGGAACCCTTATGAACTATTCATGGGGATGTAAATTGGTGCAACTGGCATGGAAAACACTATGGAGTTTCCTTAAAAAATTAAAAATAGAAGTACTGCATGATCCACCAATTCCACTTCTGGTTATATATCCAGGAGAATTAAAGACATTTGCATACTCATGTTCACTGCAGCATTATCACAGTTGCCAAGAGGTGTAAGTAACCTAAATGACCATCAATAGATTATGGGACAGGCAAATTTGGTATATACATGCAAGTAAATATTATTTCAGCCTTAAAAGAAGGAAATCCTGGCGTATGGTACTATATGGATGAGCCTTGAGGAACATTAGGATAAGCAGAAGCAGCCAGTCATAAAATATATATATATATATATATATATATATATATATATATATTGCATGATTCCTCATACTAGGTATCTAAAGGCTATGGATATAAAGGTATAGAGTAGAACGTTGGTAGCCAAGGGCTTTGTGGGGAGGGAGATGTGAAGAGAAGAAGTTTGGTGAGTATATGTAGTTTTAACGTGCAGGAATTAGGGTGGAGAGGGCAGGCAGGTGGTTCTGGGAATCTTTTGTACCAAAATGTGCATGTGATTGACAATATTGTACTATACATACAATTCTTGTGAAGGTGCATTTTATATCGTGGTTTTAAGCCACAATAAAAAATTTAGTAAGTATTATGAGGAAAAGGCTTTACTTCAAGTGAATTCATGGGAAAGGACAGAGAGGCCCTAGAACAAGGAGCACATCCTTTCACCAACCAGCTCTCAACTGAGGGGCCCACAGATAAAGATTCAGACAGGACCAGAACTGTTCCTTAAGAATATTGACTAGAGATTGTCACCAGGGCTTTAGTGATATGGAAGTAGAACTTTTATTAAAACCATTTGCTTAATATTTTTTAAGTATAAGTAAACAAATAGTACAGAATTCATATCACAAAATTTAGGTCAGTCATTCTCAATAAATCATTTTGTTATCTCCATTTTCTCTTTGTTGTATAGGCATGTGGCACAAGGGATCACTATCTGAATGATAGAATCAAGACTCAGGTGCTCAGCAAGCAAAGCCAGGCAGAACCAGACTTTTGTTCATGAAGTCTGCCACATATAAGGATGTTTACTGAGAAGGTTGTAACACATGAACTTGAAAGGGTGTGGTTCCACATGTGATCCTATCCTATACAAAATAGCTTTTCATTCCATGTCAGTTAAAAAGTACTTTTCTTGGATAAATTGTTAGAAATGTACCATCTGCCACAACTGAATCAGGAAGAAATAGAAAATATGAACAAACTGATTACCAATAATGAAATTTAATCAGTAATCATAAAACTCCCAACAAACAAAAGTTGAATTCTACCAAATGTTTTAAAAAGTAAACATCTATCCTTCTCAAACTATCCCAAAAACTGAAGAGGAAGGAATTCTTCTGAACTTATTCTATGAGGCCAGCATCATCATGATACCAAAACCAGACAACAGCACCACAAAAAAGAAAGTTACAAACAAAAATAATAATAATAACATTGCAGCATTATTTACAATAGCCAAGAAAATGAAGCAAATCAAGTGACCATCAAGAGATAAATGAATAAAGAAGACGTATATATATGTGTGTGTGTGTACACACACAATGGAATATTATTCAGCCATAAAAAATAATCATGCCATTTTCAGAATCATGGATGGACTTAGAGGGTATTATGCTAAGTGAAATAAGTCAGGTAAAAAAAAAGATAAGTAGCATATGATTTCACTTATTGTGGAATCTAAAAATAAACCACATGAACAAACATAACAAAACAGAATAGACTCATAGATATACAGAACAAACAAGTAGTTACCAGACAGTGGGGAGGAAATAAATGGGTGAGGGAGATTAAGAGGTACAAAATTCCAGTCACAAATGAGTTATGAGGATGAAATCTGCAGTATGGGAAATAGAGTCAATAATATTGTAATAACTTTGTATGGTGGCAGATGGTAACTAGACAAAAAAAAAAAAAGACTCCTGAGAAAAGGTTTTTTTTAAGTGATTTTATGAGAATTGTTTCTCTTTATGTGGCTATACTGCCACTTCTGCAATGAAAGATGCATCGAACTTTAGGGGAAGGAGTAAAGAATTTCATAGCTGGAAAACTACAGAAGGGATCTTAGCAAACCACCAAACTCTAAATCAAAGGGTGTCTCAGACACCGATGCTACTGGCCTTGGGCTACTGCTGCAGCTTTAGAGGACTTGCTCCGCTCTGGGGCCTCCTCTCTGTTCTGAGACACGGAGAGGGTGGCACCCTGTCAGGAACATCCAGTCTACCTGCAGAATTCCAGGTATATGACTCCACTAATACTGTAGTTTTCCAGTCAACAAACACAGAAGTTTCCTCATGTGCAAAGCTGTGGCCTTCCTGAGGCATGGCAATGGTGATAAACTCAAAAACCGGAAAGCACTAGGAACAAGGAAACCCCAAACAGGAGTGGAGTGTCAGGGTAGACGGTAGGTCCAGAGTCCACTGTTATGAGCTCTTCAGCCTCCCTGACACAGAAATGGGAGTCAAAGAGATTCACTATCTCCATTTTTCTCTCCTGCCTTGGACTTGTATACACTCCCCCAGGAGCAGGGTTCTCCTCTCCGGAAACGCTTGAGAGGGCATATGCTCGTCTTGAGTGGAAGAAATAACCGTTGGGTCTTGATAGAATATCGGGGACAAGCCTGAAGCAGTCGTGACAGGTAAAAAATCTGAGCATGGTGGAGATGCTCCTGGTGTAGCCCCAGGCCCTTCCTATCCAGGGTTCACCCAACTCACAGTGAGAATAGGTCACATGCTGGCTCTCAGACATAGCTTCTGGAATATCCTTGAGGTGGTTCCTGAAAGAGCAATGAAAGTGCGCTATAGCTGTCCAGCTTGCCATTCACATCCAGCATCAAGTACACCCAAGATTGTCTTTGGAGAGCAATAAATTTCTTGAAATAAGAAAATCAAACACTTTTTTCCCCTGAAACTACTATCTTTCCCCCATTCTCCTCCTACTTTATGTTCTTGTGCAATTGCTCTTTGAATTGCAACTTTACAGTCAATCCAGTTTACCTTATTTACACCTATCCCTATGTAGCTTGATCTTACTGATTTGTGGTCAGTGTTTCTGCTTGCCAAAATTCAAGCAATGATTACAGCAGCTAAGATTTGCCTAGGACTTCAGGGCACAGTCACACCTGTGATATGCTAGGTCCACCAATTATCTTGTGATAGAATATTACTACATGCTTTCGCAGATTTAGAAAGTGGGTCCCAGAAAAGCAAATTGACTTATGCAAGTCAGGAAATGGTAAAGCCAGGACTCAAAGCCAGGCTCTCTCTCTCTCGAAGTCCTAAATATTTTTATTATATGAGTTTCCTTATCTGAAAAAAGTATTTCTTCTACATCATCAAAATTAAGTCAAATATTGACAGGACAGACCCCTGTGACATGTTATTATAAACACCTATCCATTAGTCTAGTGCCTTTATGATGAAAAAGCAAGATTTGAAATTTATAGGAATTAGTGTAAAGATTTGAAACAGAAACAACAAAAACCAAACACTTCAAAGGAAATCATTCACACCCCCAGGAGTCTCTGACTTCTGAAAGGCATGAACCTCTCACCTTTATGAATTACTCACCTTTCCTGGGTGAAACCTAGCTTTAAAAAATTTATTGAAATCATACTACTCAGATAACTGTGGTAAAGGAAGATTGAATTATTTAAAATTTAAATCACTTAGGTTTTTTTAATGTGATTATATTATTTTCAAGAATCTATCGTAAAACAGGGCAGATAAAACATGGCCAGTTCCAGGTCCTCCTGTTGTTTAGCTGCTAAGTCATGTCCAACTCCTTGTGACCCCATGGACTGTAGCCCATGAAGGTCCTCTGTGCATGGGATTTCCCAGGCAAGAACACTGAAGTCGGTTGTCATTTCCTTTTCCAGGGGATCTTCCTGACTCAGGGATCAAATCACGTTTCCTGCATTGGCAGGCGAATTATTTAACAATGAGCCACTGGGAAGCCCCAGGTTCTCCTGGACCCCTATTACAAAGCACAAGTAATTATAAATTTGTTTTTTCTTGCTGATTTTGTTGGACATTGAATTAAATATTAAAAACATGTTTCTATCAAAGGTAATGCAAATGCCACTAGTTAGCTCTTCCAAGATTATTATAAATTTCATATTTGCAAAAATCATAAGATTTCCCTGAAATTTCTCTACTCACCTTTCCTTAGCATCCAAGAAGGCTTTGGCAAAAGGGTTGTACTTGATTTTGAGAGCTGTTATCTTACATTTACAAAGACAAGAAGTGTTAGTGAAAGTAGAATATGCACGGGGAACAGAACACTTAATCTTCACCTTTGAATTTCTATAAAATCAGAATAATTCTCCTCTCTCTTTTTTCTCCCTCTCCATGTTTCTTTGCTTATTTCTGCACAAAATCACTATTGCACTGTCCAACAAGAAACGTTTTATTGTCACATGTGGTGAAAATGGCAAATGCAGTATAAAATGAGCAAAGAAAGGACAAAGCAACAAAATTGCACAAACCTGATGTGCTAAATCTAGCATTTAGTCTATTATTCGTTCATTTTTTTTCAACAGTAACTGAACACCCACCATCTGTCAGTTACTTTTCTAGTCACTGGGACACAGAGGAGAGTGTACTGATGAACACCTGTCTCTAGACTCTCGAGTACAGACTAGAATCAACTCTCTGACCTCTTAAATAATCACCTACCCTTTGAGTCATGTTTACACACATGCACACACACACACAAACTATCAATTCCACCTGCTGTCACCCTTTATCTCCCCTGGCCTTAGCCTACTTCATTTTCCTTCAGAGCCATCTGACCAAATACATATTTATCATTTTCATCTCTTCTCACTGGGATGTAAGTGCCTTGAGTACAGTGCAGTATTACCAGCATGTAGGAAAACATCCAGCCTGTAGTAATACTCAATAAATATTTGCTGAATAAAAGATTTTTGGATTGCTCATTGACCCCTGTACCCACTCTCAGGATGCATTTACATTGGCAGGGATATGTTGTCAGCAGACAGAGTCTCCGAGGTTAGTTTCCCAGGTGTGATTCCCTTGGGGCATGTCCAAGACCAGAATTACAGCATCAGGCTAGTAGCCTGCTGAAAACATAGCCTTAGCCTTGCTGCTAGTTCAGAGGGAACCCTCCAGCATGTGTCCAGGAAACTCTGAGCACTTAGTGAGGGCAACCAGATGACAGGTTCCACCTGCCATGGACTGAGAGCAGGCAGCATGTCAGTGGATAAGGGACATTGTCCAGAGAGCAGAGGAGGCCAGGATGTGGCCCCCAACTCTTCCCTGCATTCCGAAGTTGCAAAAGCCCGCTCTTCCTTCATAAATCCAGAGGCCATCCTACAGAGAGTAAAAGGGGATGAAAGGCAATTTGTGCCAGGGTATGAAAGGCAAAATGTGTCAGCCTATAAAAACTGGACAGTATTTGAGGGCCTGTTTAAATTTTCAGATATTTGGTTAATTTTTCTTTCCACTGACCTGCTAAAGGGCTCAGCTGAGAGGCCAGATTAGCTATAGAAAAGAAATTACATTTCCTTGCACATCATCTGTAGGCACTAAGGCAGTGTTTCCAAACCTGGATGATCATCAGAATCCTTTAAGGAGACTCTTAAAACTAGATTCTGGGTATTCTCCCTGGAGATTCTGACTCAGTTAGCTGGATGGGAGCCTAACAATCTTCTAAAGCTTCCAAATAAAGAAATGCAAATTAAAGCAATAGTAAGATACCATTTTTTCTACCCTATTGAATTATCAAAGCTGAAAGTGTAGGTAATCACTGCGTTGAGACTGGTGTGGGAATTATAAATGGATATGCTCTTCGGAGGGAGGCAATGGGGCTTTGTCTATCACAGTTCTAAACATACACTCTCCTTGACACAACAATTCCATTTCTGAGTGCTTAATATTCTTTGCAGCATTATTTATCATAGAAGATAAAACAACTGGAAATGACCTAAACATCATTTAGATGGGAAACTGATTGCCTGAAATACAGTGTATCCTTTGCAATAATTTCAGTAAAGGAGATAAATCTGAATCCAATTTACATAGAAAGATATTCATAATGCACTCTTAGATACAGGGGGTGGGGAGAAATTTGATACTAATATGAACATGAGCCAATTTGTGTGAGGAAATCCGTACCCTGTGCATATTTATAAATGCACAGAAGACGCATGGCAAGAAGCACAGCCTCAGTGGTTATTTGTAGTGTCTCTGGGATGCGGGACTCACAGAACAGGAGGGAAAGAGTAAATCTTTACCTCTAACTTTTCATTTCATTGTATATACTTCCATACTATTTGTTTATCATGTGAAGTTTTTTTTAATAAACATGCATTATTGCCATTAAAAAAATTTTTAAGGGTGGAGGAGGGATGAACTAGGATCTTAGGCTTAAATGCAAACTATTAAATACATAGAATGGAAAAACAGCAAGGTCCTTCTGTATAGCATGGGAAACTATATTCAATATTCTGAGATAAACCATTAAAAAAGAACATAAAAAGAGAATATATATATATATATGTATGTATAACTGAATCACTTTTGCTGTATGGCAGAAACTAAAAGCATTTTAAATCAACTATACTTCAATTTTTAATAATCTTTTAAAGTTTAAGCAAAAATAATCCAACTGATCTGGCATCCTGGTGATCAGCAGTCCTGGAAAATCCTATAGCATGTGGCTGAACCAGAAAAACTTTGCTCCCACATAGTTTACGGAGGTCAGATGCTGGCTACTCAGCTGTAACCATGAGAGGCCCAAGTTAGGCAGGAAAAGATCTACATGTGCCCCCAGAAGAGCTAACAAGTGGGACAGATAGTATAACACAAACCCAAAGAGGGTGCGCGATTGGATCGATCCCCACAGACTTGCTTTAGAGCAGGAGGGATGTCTAGTTCTGTCAGGTCAATGTCGCGGAAAATAAGACTCCTGCATTTCTGCTGGTTGTATTACAATGCACCACTGTGCCTTATTGGCACCAGGAGAAGAAATACTGGTGGAGCTTTGGCAAGCAGGGAGAAGGAGGTGGAAACTGATTACCACACTGCTTAACTTGGTCTCTACCGAGTGTATCTGACTATATCTGAATCTTAGAAAACCTACCTTTCATCCAAGTTTGGTCATAACAATAAAAGCACCACCCCCTAGTCCCATCACGCTCCCCCAGGTGACATTTACACATACATATACACACACACTCACCTCCTCATTCTGATAGGCAGTCACAGCTATGAACTGGGTTTCAGGGAAGGAGCAGTTCATCACCATTCGATGGGCATCTCCAACACGCACTATGTGAACCTGGGGCTCATATTTATGCAGAGAATTCAACATTATCTGTTTAGGTGGGAGAAGAGAGAGGACACACAAAGCCTCAGGCATCACAGGTGACAGATGGCCCAGCACCTCTGATTAGTCCTAAGGCTAGCACCCAGCTCAGTTAGGGCCGCACACATCGATCCCCACTCATCTGAGCTGCCACCGTCTCTCTGAGAAATTATTGAAGGAGATTGCTTTAGAAACTCTTAAGGAGAATAACTTTGGAGCTGCTCATATGAGGGTGACTAAGCACATACACATATAAGAGGGTGAAGGGTGGGTTGCCAGAGAAGAGCTGGTCTAAAGAGTATTTGGTTTTCTGCCAAAATCCTGGCTTCCTTTTTTTTCCTTCCTATTTTCAGCACAACGATATGAGTTTTGCTCTGTTAAAACATACTGTTTTTTTTTTCCTATGAGAAAGTGTGTTAGTGTTAGTAGTCATGTCTGAATCTTTGCAACCAATCTAGCCCACCAAACTCCTCTGTCCATGGAATTCTCCAGGCAATAATACTGGAAAGGGTTGCCATTCCCTTCTCCAGGGGATCTTCCTGATCCAGGGATCAAACCTGGATCTTCTGAATTGCAGGCAGATTCTTTACCATCTGAGCCACCAGGGAAGCCCCCTAGTAAGAAATCCTAATTATCACAAAATCCCGACAAAGGGCTGAATTACCTAAAAAGTAATGCTAGCTGACATCTGCTGGTTATATAACATCGACTCTTTGTAATTCAAATCAAAGGCTTATTGAAAGTCTCCTGTTGTGAAAACTGGGAGGGAATAATAGTTTACTTTTCAATTTCCTGATTCAATAAAGAACTGGAAACTTCCGAATATTGCAGAGACTTAGGAAGATGACTTACCATTCTTAAAACAAGAACCCCTACATCCCAGCTGGATAAGCACAGAGAACAGAGAAGGCGTGAAAAGTCTAAGGGCTATGAGACTGACCAAAGTGAAATCTGGGGGGATAAGACCTCTTCCTCCCGACTGGGTGTAATCCCCCCAAACAGTCTACATTTTATAAAGCAAATAACAACCTTGCACAGCGCACTAGTATGCACAATCCTGCCAGAGAAAACAAAAGAGTAAAAAGCCTCAAAATCTTGTTTACTCTAATTGGAGACCTTAAATAAAACCCTCCTTATTTAAGGTTTGTTTGGATTCTTTTTCTGAAAACCCAAAGCTGATTCAATATTCTATTGATAATTATCATAATGCCCAAGTGGAGGGAGCAATTATTTCATTTAGGAGCAGCTTTTTATTAAGATGCCACTTACACCAAAAAAAAGGGAGAGGGAATAACAAAACCCTGGTACCCACAAACATCTCCCTCCTCCCAGGCTTGGTAAAAAGCACCACACACAAGGCAAAACTCTGAAAGGCCCCTGATGATTAAGTAAACTACTGCACTCTCTCACTCTCTCTTAACATCAGGAAGTCCATTAAAAACTGAAAGCACCAATTAAGAGCTGTTTATTCCTGTTCACATTTGGACTCCGGGGAATAATTGGCTTCCCTGAGAGAAGAGGTCGGTGAGGACCTCCTAATTGCCTAAATGCACCTCTGATATTTCTTGATGGGTGTTGTGGGGCAGCCGGGTGGCCAGGCTACCAAGCATACCTGCCCACCTCCGTTGAGCTTATTGGTCAGCTTCACTTTGCTGAAGGAGATGGGGGCCTTCATCCAGTGGGCACCGAAGTTGGGGGAGTCTGGGTGGATGTAGACACAGCTGTGGCTGGAGACCTCTGGCTTGCCTGCAGGCACCCATTCTCCATTGACGTACTTCCAGCGATGACTGTCCATTGGGACAAAATCCAGAAGGAGTGAGTACATGGCATTGGGGTCCAGCCCTGTGATGCTAATCTTTAGGACTGGGAACATCCGTCTAAAAGAAAAGGCAGAAATTGAGCCACAAGAAGGATGTTAGAATGTTAGGAACATCTCTCCAGCTGTCCAGTCCTCTCTCTGCTCAGAGGAGACTGTCCTTGGAGGGCTCTGGTGGTGCAGAAAATGCACAGGGGGAAGCCAAACAAAGAGGGGCCGGGCCAGCAGCTTCGAAGTCAGCCAAGCCTCTTTTTACCGATGTATTTTATATTGAGGTTTTACTTTTAAATGTTGTGCTGTTTTAATGTCTGAAAATCACTGATCTAGTCACTTGACCAGAATGAAGTTCCTCCTGAAACTTGAGGTATTGTATACAGGCAGGTGCCAGGTTCTCACAGAGCTTCCTTCAAAGGTTTTCTCCCAGCATACATCAGATTTTCACACTATTGCCACAGAGCAAGCCTTCTCTGTATCACAAAACAGTTCTAAATAATAGTAACAGTGTTAATACAGAAAACACAGTTTGTGGTAAAGGCAGTGACGGGACCCTTGACTCTACATATTTAGACCAGTTCCTTTCCTGCAGGACTTGTCAGAGGCATTAATTCACCTGTGAGCACTTTGAGAAGGGGTGAGGGATTCCACAATCTGCACTTGTGCACCTGTGCAACCATCTTCTCATTGAGCATCTTGTGGGAATTTGTGTTCAATAAATACACTTTGAGGACTTCCCTGGTGGTCCAGTGGTTAAGAATCTGCCTGTCAATGCAGGTGACATGGGTTCAACCCCTGGTCTGGGAAGATTCCACATGCCATAGGGCAACTAGGCCCATGAGCCACAACTACTGAAGCCTGAATGCTATAGAGCCCTCAAACCACAACAAGAGAGTAGCCCCAACTCACCACAACTAGAGAAAATCTGCCTGCAGCAACAAAGACCCAGTGCAGCCAAAAATAAATAATATTTTTTTTAAAGGAAGATGTATACTTTGAGACATGATGATCTGGTTTTGTTGGTCCTTCTCCCACCCTCTGCGGGATTCCCAGGTGGTTTGGTGGTAAAGAATCTGCCTGCCAATGCGGGAGACGTGGGTTTGATCCCTGGGTTGGGAAGATCCCCTGGAGAAGAAAATGGCAACCTACTGCAATATTCTTGCCTGGGAAATCCCATGGCCAGAGGAGCCTAACTGGCTACAGTCCACGGGGCCCCAGAAGAGTCGGACACGACGTAGAGACCAAACAGCTGCAGCAGCAGCTCCTACGCTCTAAGAAAATACCAGCAAGCTCACTCTCACAGATATTTGGAGAAGCTAGCTCACCTGGCTTCTGATCCTCTTTAGCTTATTTTTCTCTCACCAAGCTATCCAAGTTGCTCCAATCTCCTCAAAAGACCTAGTTTCCATACAGACGCCCCTACCACCTCCCGATTGCCCCAGAAGCTGTCTTATTTGTCAATACATCTTCGAAAATCTGAGTCCCCAAGTTGAGAAGCTAACAAACTAGGGTCCAAACACTTGCTACTCAGAGTGGTTCATGACTCAGCAGCAGCAGTCATCAGAAATGCAGCAGCTCAGACCTAACTCCAGACATACACAATCAAAATCTGTGCTTTTCAAAATCCCCAGTTAAGTGACCACAACTTTAAAGCTTAAAATGTACTGGTCTAGGGTGTCTAGCTTTTAAGATAGCAGCTAAGGAGACATCCAAGGGAGTAAGGGGAGTCACTTGGAGGATTTGTGCTTCTATAAAGGTTGGGAAGAGAATAAAAAGGGGAAAACTGAGTATGTCCACTGCTAAAAGAAGGAGTCCAAGGATGCCAGGTATGGAAATATTAACAGCATAATGGGTATAGGTGAGGGACTGGAGGGTCCCAGTAGAGCCTAGTTTTGAAATGAGGAACAATAAGAACTGCAGCATATGGAAAGTGAAGAAATTGACCAACAGATAACAAGGGCTGGATCTAGAGATGGACTTATGCCATCCAGGCTCCTCAGTCTTCTGAGCTTAAGTTACATGGCCTCCCTGAATACTCTGGACAGACAGGATATTTTTCCCCTTGGCTCATCCACCTAATCAATACTTCCAACTCTTTTGCTCCTCTTGCAACTTAGTCCTCCAGCTGTGTATGAATAACGGGGATCTGTTTCCAGCACCCCCTCTTTTCTAAATGCCCTGCCTTAGTGAGCACTTCAAACGTCATGGCAGAATACAAAGAACCTGGGGGAGTTTACACCAACCAGGTTTATACCCCAGTATGGGTCTTGGCAAGCACTTAATGGATAGTAAATAGATAGTACCTTTGAGTACTAGAGGCTGGGTGAGTCAGATAATAAACTGAAGCTTGGTGAGTTTAAGTAAACCAACTTAAGTCCATATATTCAGGAAGAGTGGGAGTTGACACCTAACAAACTGAACCATAACCTACATTTGAAATCATTCCTCATACTCACTAGATGGCTATAATAATAATAATAAAAGGTGAATAACAGCAAGCATAGGTGAGGATGTGGAGAAGTTGAAATACTCATACATTGCTGATAGAATATACAATGGACCAGCCAAAAGTGAGTCTTGCAATTCCTCTAACAAGTTAAAATACAGAGTTACCATATGGCCCTGCAATTCCATGCCTAGGTGTTATATGTATGAGTAATGAAAACATACACCCACATAAAAACTTATATACAGACATTCATAATGGCATTATTCATTACAGTTGAAAATTGGAAACAACCCACATGTCCATTGATGACTGAATAAATAAAATGAAGTCTATTTATGCAGTGAAATATTATTTGTCAATAAAAATGCTACAACACAGATGAACCATAAAGACATTATGGTATACTTTCAATGAGTTTTTTGGATTGTACGGTATATAAATTATCACAATAAAGCTGTTAACAAAAAAAAGTAAATAAAGAGAAAGTAAAAAAGTAAAGAAGCATCCTGGTTCTTAGAAGAACACATGTAAAACATGGTAGGACCATTTGTTGCTTTAATCTCTAATAATTCACTTGCTGAGAATTTTATCATTATTTTTCTTTTTTTATCACTACACAAATGAAGTGAGATGCTATTTATTTTTATCTTCTTTATACCAATGATGTCATAAATGTCACCAATGTAAATAAATGTCAATTTGCCCAAGGTCTTATAACTAGCACTTGAAGCCACCCTGCCTCCAAGCCCAGTTCAACACCTCTTGCTTCTCCTCTGCTTCTTTCTCCAGCCTCACAAGGACTGGGATGTGATATCTCTTTACTTGTGGGCAACGCTCATGACCAGACTGTTTTCAGGGATAAGCTGCACTTCTTTGATCTTTTCTCCCTTTTCTTCCATCTCTGTGGCTGTGAACCAATCCCTATATCAGAGAGAGAAGCAAATGTAGTAGGGGATAGAAACACTGCCCAAAACTGTGCTTGAGGAGCCACACATCCTTAGGCTTGGCCGTGAACTCTGTATTGGTTAGCTATGAGGCTAGTTTCTGTTTTTATTTCTCTTACAGGAGATCTTGAGAGCCAGCACTGCTGAAAGATGCTGTGAGGACTGAGGTCTATAGGAAGAGGGCAGACAAGGCAGATTTTCTAGGTGGGGAAACAGCAGAGGTGGTTAAAGGCAAAATTCAGGAAGTAAACTCCCTCTCTTTTCCCCCACAGAATTTTAATAATAATAAAGGTTTTGGAGTGTGTGTATGCAGGCACATGGGGCATGGATGTTTAGACTTATGTGACGATAAGAGGAGGAGCAAGTAACCAAAGTAGCCTGGTTAGAGGCAGATCACACAAAAACATATGCTCCTCATGAACTGCAGTTGTAAACTTCAGAGAAAAGTCTCCATAGACTACAGGGACATGGAAAATTTTTTCCTGATGTGCAACATCGGTTTTCTCTCCTCTTGCACCACTGTGACTTTGGGGCCCTCGTTGCCTCCCACTATGAGCATTAGCTCACCGTACCAACATCTCTAAATCACTGGGAAGTTCAACTTAGTGATCCTAACATTTTATGATAACAAACGGATACACCAATTACATCAGAAATTCTTCCAATTTATTAAAATCTTCTCAAGGCAAATTTAATCTGAATGAAATAAAATTATTCAACTGCATGGAAATACACATAATATATAGCTTTTCCCCCTAAGGCAAATATGTTACTGTAGAGAAAACAAAAGTTACAAGAGACTTCACTTATTTACCACTGAAATCTGAAATAAATCTTTTTGTGCAACCTAAAATGCAAGTTCCTACCTTAAAGGATAGAGATGAAAGGAAGTATTTACAAGCTGATGCACTAGAGATGATTCAAATGAACTCTAAGGAGGTATTATAATGGTTATTGTTATGTCTGAAAGGCTATTGAATATCAATAACTAAACATTTTCAATAAAAAAGGAGGGGGTGAAAAGAGAGGAGAGTAAACAGTAAAACAGCACGAGGAAGGGACAGGAGAGGAAGGAATGAAGAACCATCATAATCCCCATTTCTGTGGATAGTTCACTGTTTTTCAGGGAAAATCTCTATTACTTCTGATCAATGTCAGAAGCAAGCCTCCTATTTATGCATATAAATAGATGTCAATTTGAAAATGAGTCTTTTAATTCATCATTCCATCTATACTATTTTAAAACTTGCTATTACACGGGACAATTATCCTCAAGTGTACAGGAGATCTGATTAACCCCACTGAAGATTTAGAAAAGTCAGAAAGTTAACTGACTATAGGGGCAGGAGGGTAACATGAATGAAAAGGGCCAAGACTGGGTATTAACTACCAGGAATGTTCTTTCCAGAGAAGGGCCACAGTTCCATCTGCCTTAGGCTCAGGAGTTGGTATGAAAGGTAAGGATGGGGCATCTGGAGGAGACATTGTGAGTCTACTGACAGAGGAAAATGGGTCAAAAGGAGTGATACAGGGATAGATGGTTAGGAGAAAAAAAGAGGGAAAAGAGAGATGAAGAGGAGAATAAAGAAGACAGCAAAACAAGAAAGATGTGCCTATATCAAGAGCAGGAAAGTGTTGTTAACAGTTGATTCTGAGAAACTAAACAGACTGAGAGTAATTCCTGATCACACTCACTCATTACCAACTGCATTCATTTCTTAGAGATTTGTCTTCCCTTCTTTATCTGAAATACAAAGGAAACTATCTCCTGGTAAAATCTTGACCAGGAGGGGTTCAGAGATCCTAAGAAAAGATTTAACTTCACTGAGAAGGTAAAAATGTCAGCAGGACCTCCACAGAAAATAAGAAGAATCACATTGACCATAATTAGACTTTTTCTACAGAGAATAATTTTCACATAGTTAATGAGTTTAAATATGTGAAGACTTTTCAACTTTAAATATGAATAAAATTATTTAGGTGCAAAAAGACAAGAGAAAGTTCTTCTAAAATTGTAAAAGAACATATCAATATGACATATTATTAAGTTGAATTTTATAATGGTTTTCAAAATTTTTATTTATCCCTCATTCAAATATATGGACTATATTTTTACTTGATGATTATACTTATTTTACTATTATATATGACCACTTTGACAGCCAAATAAATAGTATGAAGCTAAGTATTAGTGTAACTAAAAGAATAATAAACAGAAAGGTCTACCTGTCATCGGACATCATAAAACTTTTACAACTGTATCATCACTCATTTTTAAAAGGAAAGAAAGTATATCCAGTTTCAGGAATTGAGGATAATTCTTTGAAAATACAAACATGTTTTCTATTTCTTTTTACAGAATATAATGTGTCAATACAGATCAAGAGTAAGAATAGGTAAAATTACAATTATAATTATTAAAAATAACAAACTCTATATATGAAATAAATACGGGACCCATTTAGAGAGAGAAAATATAAGCATCAAGCAAGATTGATATTCCTGCTACTATTAGTAACCACAATTTATTGAAAGGCCTTATCTATAGAACCTTTTTTCTTTACGAAGCACTGTAATGTCACACAACAACACTCAAATTCATAATTTTCCCAGATAGAATGGTTCATTCTCTATGCCATACATTTTATTCAGAAATGGAAAATTGAGAAGTCAGGAATGAAAATGTTTTTCACAAGGACAAAAGCCTGCCAGAATTTCAGCTAGCTTGGACTTTTCTCTCATTGGAAAGCAGAATTTCTCTCAAAGGTCACAATCTTTGAGATTGTGCTGAAACTAACCATATCGAAAATACCTTTCAACATTTTGTACTTTTTTGACCATGTGAACAGAAAGATCAGTATCACATTAACATTGGGAGCTGTTTGGCCAAGCTTGGGAGCAATGATACTTTCTTTCTAAATATTTTTATCTCCTTTACTAAACAGAAACTCCTAATATTACCTTAGACAGTCACTTGGCAGAAATAGATTTAATATAATCCAAGAAATACCAACAGAGAGCCATTTCATTTAATCCCTATTGTTGCAATGAAAAAACTGACGGCATCTTCTCTTTTCTCAGTCAGTATATTATGGTTTCATTAACTATTACTGCAATGGCTTTCATACTGTCACAAACACACACAATTTCAAATGAACACTCACCACAAACACACAGGAAGAAGCAAGTGTAGAAATAGGTAGTGAGATTAAATTTGCCTTTTAGCCTCTGAATCTTCAGCTTGTCAGAAATGTCTCGCAAGTTTGCTATACTTCAGACAAAATCACCCAGCTTCCAGATAAAGTTGCCTTTTATTTTATCTTATCTGAATGGAATTGGAGTTCAAAGAATAGTAATCTGCTCCAGGATGTACAGTCAGTCAAAATTAACATTATTTTCTGAAATTTGAGTGCATTTCCCAAACCCATGGGACATGCCCCCCTTTACAGTAATTTCAAAGAATTTCTTCATTTAAACTGCAGGCAGAACAGGTGGCTTCATCCTCCACTTCTCTGACGATCTGAGAGAAATTAATTAAGTTGGCTGGGGGAAAGCCGTAGGAGACTGTCCTCAGGAGCGTTTAATCAGACCCCGCTACCTCTGAGTGAAGAGCTGCAGCCTCTGCTATGTTCAAGGGGCCTTGCCTCCCTTGCCAAGCCCCTCTAGCCCAAGTAGAGCCACAGATAATCTCACCTGCCGTTCTTGGTCACGATCATTTCGTTGGTGACTTCCTTGAACCTCTGCCAGAGAGGGGCATCCTCCAGAATGATCTGAAGTTGCTTCTCTGTAGGGTCGCCTTTTTCCCTCCCTGCCTGAAGCTCACTTTCCACCACATTGAGCAGACGAGAAACAGTTCCATCACAGGTCTTCTGAGTGTCCAACTCACTCATGGCCACAGGCCCCTCTCAAACTTTGCTGAGAAACAGTAGTTACTTTGCCGGCTTCCACCTCTTTCCTCCTGTCACTTGCCTGCTTTTCAAATCCAGCTGGCAGTGCCTGGGAAGCTGGGGAAGAAATGCCTAGTCTCTTGCCTAAGCTCCTAGCATGACACCCTGAAAGTCTACAAATTATACCACCAACCTGTTAAGCTTTAGTTGGGGGTGGGTGGGAGGGGAGAGGTGGGGAAGAAAAAGCCCTCTCTTAATTACTCACTGGATCAGGTGGGAGAAAGCCTGGCTTTCCCATTGGCTGCCGTGTATAGAGTAGATATTTAAGAAGGGTACTCCATCCAAATTATCAGGCTTTTATCTTGCTGTACCTGAAGAGGTCTAATCGGTGTATTGAGGACCATTTTCCAGTTAATTAAAATTGTTCTGGGCCCAGACTGTAACGATCAGGCAAATCACATTTGTGTATAAATCATGGCTTGTGGTATCTATAGGGAAAAAGAAAGATCAAAAACCTTGATGCCAATACAGGATTTCCTGACACAGTTGAGAACCTAAATCCCTGAGCTAACCACTAGCTCTGAACAGAATAGAATATATGGAAGGCCAAGGGCATTGTGCCAAGGAATATGACAGCTGTACCACAGAAGGAAGGAAGATGATCTGTGTGCCATCCACTCAAGGGTCAGAGATCAGGAGAAAAGAGCTAAGGGCTTCATTCTCCCAGGATATCCCCCACTGGCCATCTCTCTCCTGAAGGATCCTACAGACCTCTCAAGGTGTAGTCTCCTGCTCATCTCAAGGTTCCTCATTGCCTCCCACAAGCAGAAGAGCTCGGAACCATGCTCCTCCTCCCTAGTGTCCACAGCCCAAATATTTCTCATTTCCAATCCTAGCCAGGAGAAAAAATCCTTCTAGCACCATATTAATCTATGGAAGCACTCTGTCCCCAGTGATTGAAAAATCAGCTTTTTACTTTATTGTGCAATTGACATCTTAAATCCAGAAAGGCATTCTGGCTTTTCCCCTCAATGGTTTGTGGCCTATCTGGCATTCTGAGGTGAACCCCCACTTTCCCTGGGGAGATACTACTAGTAGAAAACATTTATTTTACCCATGACGCACAGTACACACAGCATACATGGGGAGGGCAGAGACAGCTCCACCTCCCCAATTCCGAGTAGATCCTGGGACTTGTGAGTTTTCCTCTTGCTACAACAGAACGCTGTAGAAAAGGAAAACAAAAGAAAAATAAAAGCAAAAACATAAGGTAAAGTCAGAGTAAGGATGGTATACAAACAGTATGCAGTGCCTACTAAGTGCCAGATACTGATGAAGACTTACATCCAACAATGAATGAGACAGAAAAGGCCCTGCCTTCATGGAATTAAAAATCTGGAAGAGAAGATGAATAATATAAGCAACTGAGACTGTTGCCCCTTGGAAGAAAAGTTATGACCAACCTAGACAGCATATTAAAAAGCAGAGACATTGCTTTGCCAACAAAGGTCTGTCTAGTCAAGGCTATGGTTTTTCCAGCGGTCATGTATGAATGTGGGAGTTGGACTATAAAGAAAGCTGAGCACTGAAGAATTGATGCTTTTGAACTGTGGTGTTGGAGAAGACTCTTGAGAGTCCCTTGGACTGCAAGGAGATCCAGCCAGTCCAACCTAAAGGAGATCAGTCCTGAGTGTTCATTGGAAGGACTGATGCTGAAGCTGAAACTCCAATACTCTGGCCAGCTGATGCGAAGAGCTGACTCATTTGAAAAGACCCTGATACTGGGAAAGATTGAGGGCAGGAGAAGAAGGGGACGACAGAGGATGAGATAGTTCGATGGCATCACCAACTCAATGGACATGAGTTTGAGTAAGCTCTGGGAGTTGGTGATGGACAGGGAGGCCTGGTGTGCCACAGTCCATGGGATCACAAAGAGTCGGATGCACCTGAGCGAATGAGCTGAACTGAACTGAATAATTACCATTAGTGATAAGTCTATGAAGACTATGTAAAGGGGTGAGATGGTCGAGAAAAATGTGTGTAAGGCAGGGTGGGTAGAATCCTAATTAGGTGGGGTTGTATGGAGAGTCTCCTCTGAAGAGACATTTCAGGTGAGAACAAAAAAGATGAAAAGGATTTAGAGAAGAGTTGGATGAAGAGTTTCAGGCAGAGGAGGCATATATGAGAAGTGTAGCTTGGGCCAGTTAAAGAACCATGAGGAGGCCAGCGTGGCTAGAACACGGTGGTACAGAGATCAGAGTGAGATGTGCTTTAAGAGGGGCCTTATAAACCTTAAAAAGGAATTTGGATTTTATTCCACATGAGATACAAAACTATTAGTGTGTATTAAAGCAGGAAGATAGTATGTTTTGCTTTGTGCTTTCTTTTAATCTGGACAAATTATAGAGAATAGAGCAGTAAAAGTCAAGAACTGAAGAAAAGAGAAAAATTAGAGGGGTGTTATAGTGGTTCAGGCAAGAGATGGTGGTGGCTTATCCTAGGGTGGTGGCAGCGGCCACAGAGACAGGTGATTGGACTCTAGATTCATCTTAGAAGCAGGTACGGCAGAACCTCAGAGGGACTGGATGTGGGGTGAGGGAGAGAGTGAGGAATCAAGAGTCTGTGGTGAGTGGTTAGTAGGTAAGAGGGCCATTTACTGAGATGGGGAAGGATGGAGGGAGAGGAGTCTACAGAGGTATGGCTTTAGTTTGAGGAATCAAAATTTTCATTTTCATGTAATTAATATTGAGAACATTGTGATAGTCTGAATAATCTGTCCATGCCCTAACCCCCAGAACCTGTGAATGTGGTACCTCACATATGATAAAAAAGAATTTCGCTGCTCAACATTGTATGTCATCAGGGAAAAGCAGGTTAAACCAATTACAAGTTACCATTATGTGCCCATTAGCATGAACAAAACATTGACAACATCAAATGCTAATGAGGTGGCTGAGCAATAGTTCTCATTCATTGCTGGTGGGTATGCAAAATGATACAGCCACTTCAGAAGACAGTTTGACGGTTGCTTACAAAACTGGACATACTCTTACCACACGATCTAACAATCCATGGTGCTACTCAAATAAGTTGAAAACTTGTGTCCACAAAAAAAAGCCTGCACACAGATGTTAACAGCAGCTTTGTTTATAATTGACAGAACTTGGAAGCAACCAAGAAGTTGCTCTATAGTTGAAAGGCTTAATAAATGGTACATTCCAATAATAATTATTCAGTGCTAAAAAGAAATGAGCTACCAAGCCATGAAAATGCATGGAGGAAATTTAAATGTATATTGTTAAGTGAAAAAAGCCAATGTCAAAAGGCTACATATTGTGTAATTCCAACTATATGACATTCTGAAAAACACAAAACTATGGAGACAATAAAAAGAACAGCTGTCACCAGGGACTGGGAGAAAGAGGGATGAATAGGCAAAACAGAGGAATTTTAAAGCAGTGAAAACACTCTGTATGATTTCGTAGTAATTAACACCTGTCATTATATACTTATCCAAACCCACAGGATGTACATCACCAAAAGGGTACAATACCATAATGTAAATGATAAACTTTGGGTGATAATGATTTGTCAGCACAGGTTCATCAGTGTGACTCTGGTCCAGAATGTTGACAGTTGGGGAGGCTATGCGTGTATAAAGTATATGGGAAATCTCAGTACTTTCTGCTCCATATTCCTATAAGCCTAAAACTGTTCTAAAAACTAAAGCTAGTTGGTGGGGGGAAGAGGCTTTGTAGATATGACTCAGTTAAAACTTTGAGATGGGGAGATTATCCTGGCTTATCTAGGTGGGCTCAAGGTAATCACAAGGGTCTTCATAAGAAGGAGACAAAAGGATCAGAGTCAGAGAAAAAAGATGTAGGCACAGAAGCAGAGGTCAGAGAGAAGAGTATCTTACTGCCCTGCTGGCTTTGAAAATGGAGAAAGGGGGTCACAAGCCAAGCAGTTGTAAAAAGATAAGGAAATGGATTCTCCCCAACAGCCTCCAGAAAGAACTCTCACCAATACCTGGATTTTAGTCTAGTGAAGCTGATTTAAGACTCCTGACCTCCAGAACTGTAAGATAATAATTTTGTGTTGCTTCAAGTCATTAAGTATATGGTAACTGTTATAGCAGCAATAAGAAACTAGTTCCAAGACAACAAGACTTCTAAGCAGAGATTTCGAGAAGAAACTACTTAAAACTACGGCGCAAGTGTGGCTCTGATCTTCCTCGCAGCCAGTACAAACGGGGAAATGCAATCTGACATACATTACACTGTGTTCCTAAAACAAAAAACAAGCCATTTGCCCAAGGGAAACTTCCCTTATGAGTCTTTAGAAGAAAACACTGTGTGATCTGCTGAATAATGTTTCCTCAAACGGTCCATAAATACCGGTAGGATGAGGATCCCTACCTTCAGAGTATGTAACAATCTAAAAGAGAGGAAAAGGCATGTCGTTGTTCTGTCAGTCACTCCATCTTGTCTGACTCTTTTTGACCCCATGGACTGCAGCACAGTTTTCCCTGTCCTTCACCATCTCCCAGAGTTTGCCCAAACTCATGTCCATCGAGTCGGTGATGCCATCCAACCATCTCATCCTCTGTCATCCCCTTCTCCTCCTGCCTTCAATCTTTCCCAGCATCAGGGTCTTTTCAAATGAGTCAGCTCTTCCCATCAGGTGGCCAAAGTACTGCAGTTTCAGCTTCAGCATCAGTCCTCCCAATGAACACTCAGGACTGATTTTCTCTAGGATGGACTGGTTGTATCTCCTTGCAGTCCAAGGAACTCTCAAGAGTCTTCTCCAACACCACAGTTTGAAAGCATCAATTCTTTGGTACTCAGCCTTCTTTATGATCCAACCCTCATATCCATACATGATTACTGGAAAAAACATAGCTTTGACTATTACAGACCTTTGTGGGCAAAGTAATGTCTCTGCTTTTTAATATGCTGTCTAGGTTTGTCACAGCTTTTCTTCCAAGGAGCAAGCGTCTTTTA